CCTCCACACACAGACGGACTGAACTATAAGCCTTTACAGAAGCTTGAAACAATATCACTCTAAACACCTTCATTCTAGCATAAATATTTGTACTTAGAGCCTTTTCATTGTGGGGTTAGAGTTATGTTATAGTAGAAGAAATGAAGTCTAAATCATCCTCACAGTTTCTTCAAAATGAACACTGTTAAAAAATGATAACATTTGAGGAAATAAATGCTTGAATAGAGTGGTTTTTGTCTTAATTGAAGTTCATCCAGACTGTGATAAAACATGATTTGTCAAAGGGAAAAGGCCGTTTAGTCTTATTTCAAGAACTCTGGCCTTATTTTCTCATTCCAAGGGAGACATTTCTTGTATCTTATAAAATCAAGATACTTTAGCTTGTCCCATTGGCAAATCTTGTTTTCCATCCATCCATCCATTTTCTTCCCCTTAATCCATTTCTGGGTCGGGGGGATGGCGGCAGTCAGAGCTGCACCCAGTACACAGAGCACCAGCCCCTCACTGATCCTCCTGCAGGTGGTCCACAGGAGCTGAGATCTTTCAGTGGGGTTAAGGCAAAGTGGGGTTAAGTGTCTTGCCCAAGGACACAACAACGGCAGTCATCAGTGGGAGTCGTGAAGTAGGTCTTACGGTGGGCTTGAACCCACAACCTTCAGGCTCAAAGGCCAATGCTCTACCAACTGAGCCACTGTCGCCCGCAAATCTTGTTTTAAGCCAGTCAAAATGTGCTCAAATTAAGATACATTTTGCCAAATTTTAGCAATTTTGACCTATTTTTCATCACTTTTTGCAGTGAATCAAGGCGTTTTCATGTTGTTTCTGTTGCTAATCAACCCATAGTTATTGTAAAATGGCGCAAAATTGGCGTTCAACAGTCATTTCCATGATTCCCGTCGGAGAACGCAACATTACAAGCCTTTCTCTACAAGCGACCAGCAATCTTCCACACACAGAGCTGTCAGAAAACATTATTACACTGTCATTTCTGCGAGGAACAAGCTGCAGCGCTACGGCGGTGTAAGTACTGCCGCGGTCTCTGGTCTGTTCGGTCACGCCGCCGCGGCTGCACTCCCAGATGCATACAGGCTATTTATCAGGAGCCGCCGACGCCTCGCACGCCACGATCTGTCTTCTGTGAGCGAGCAAAGATTCAGCTCCTGGATGTGAAACGCTTAGGGGAATACAGGAGCCAGATCTTCCAGAAAACCATTCAAGAATTTGGTTTGTGTTTGTGTTGGGAAGCCTGGTTTTTGCCAAATCTCTCATTTCAATATTTCTGAACCATGTTGGGTATTTTGCGACATCTCGTTTGGTTCAGAGTAAAAATAAAACCTTGAAGAGTGTTCCCTTCTAAAAACCGAGATATAAAACTTACTTCAGACACAAATATGGAGTTCTGCTGAGTGCTGGGCAAAAAAATCAAATGTATTCAAGTAAAAGACCTTCATGAAAATTTTTAGAAATGTAAAAATAGTGAATTGGAGGTTGTGATACTGTTGCTTCAGCCTCGGCTTCTTCTTCTGTAGTTTAGCCCAGTGCAGATAATGGATACAACAGGGTTTTATGAAAAGGCAATGATCATACTTGAGATATCAACGATGGTTTTTTGGGTTGGAAATTCGGTTTCAAATTTGAGTATTGAGCTTTTTTCATGAAACAGTTTGGTGACTTTGGTTAAACTTGATTGTAAAATAGTCCAAATGCGAGAATAAAATTGAGATGGAACTTGTTTTCATATCGCCCAGCCTGAATTTGGACCTATCATTTTTATAGGACAAAAAAATAAGCTTCACCGCATACATGTGAAATTATATATATGTATAACACTTGAATTAGCAGTTTTTCTTCTTCATCTATGTCTATGTAAAGAATGAAAAATATCAAAAAAATATCTTTCTGTTGACAACAAAATAAAAGACACTTGTTCCTTTGCAAAATCTTTGAGACAGAAACAATCTCCCAAATTCAAGTGATTTTTTTATTACTTTTGTCCCATTTTGAAAAGAACTTCAATAACAACAGTCTTTGTGATTTGCCCATTGTGACCTCGAATTTCGCCATTAGCCGTAGTGTGTCGTGCAGTTTTGGAAATGTCTGAAATATAATCCTTGTTTCATTGGACTGTATCAAATCACAAGGCCCCTGCAAGCTCCGCTCAGCCAAGTTAGCCATCAGCAGTTTTTTCTCCCCTTTTAGTGTGTGAGAGAATATACATGCATGAACAAAGTCAACTTGGCAATGTCTATATATGTTTAAACGACAACGATATGTTAAAAATATTGCAAGAAATGTCATGGTCGTTAAGTCTTAGTAAAAACCCATAACGTTGGATAAGAAAAAATACATGGTAGATTAAGCAAACTTATGAATATGGAATATTTGAGCGTGTGATTGCAAGTGAGAGTAGAATCAAGCGCTGCGTCGTAGATCAAAGTATTTCATGCCAAAAACTATGAACACAAGGAAGTCTTCCAGTAAAAAGCCCTAAAGAAAGAAGACAAGGCATGGCTTTGTGGAACAGCAGTGAATTATACATATGTACAAAACTGAAAAAATATCTATTCTCCAACTGCTGTTAATAAATGCCAGTAGTGGTCATAAAAAGGTGGTATTTTTGATTGAAAGTTGTAGAATCCTCAATGAATAATGTCCTTCAAAGACGGACAAATGCTATTTCTTAAGCAATTCTCCCGTCTGATTGCGAAACAGAACGGAACAATTGGAAAGGTGCTAATATCACAGCTTTGTTATCGTCTATAGAAAAGCCACTCGCGTCATTTTCTCACAACCCCCCAATCCGAAAGCTGGTAAAACACGGGTAGCAATCCTATCTACTCTCAGCCTGCGATTACAGTAGGTCAAAGTCTGCCGCGGAGCTAAAAGTGGCCGCTCTCCAAAAGCCACTCTCTCTTTTTCCCTCTCCGTCTTTCTCTCTCTCTCCCACTCGCTGGCGTTTTCTTCCCTTCCTTCATTCTCTGCTTTCAGAATACAGTCGGGCTCAGAAAAACGGTCAGATGCGAGCTGACGATACAGAAGTGGGAAAATATGGGGAACAAAACAACCAGATTTGAACGGATTCAGAATAAATCACATTGTTCCGTCGCGACTCGCCGAAACCAAAACGGCAAAGACTGTAGCTTAAGATAATGAAATTGGGTTCTTTTTGGTAAAATCTCGTAACATAGTTGTGTTGTTTCTTCTTGCGTTGGCAGTTCATGAATTGTGTGTGTTTTAAGTATCCCAGTAGTTCTTTGACATGCTCTTTAAACAAAATCTTTTAAATATAAATCAGAAAACTAATTGTATTCGCTGTTTGCCATTAAAGTCCAAATGAGATATGTTGAATAAAATAGCGCAGCTCTCGTTTAGTTGAAGATTAGTGAGTTTTTTTTAAATAACTTTGAGATGCTGCCAGTGGCAGCTCTAGAGAATTTTACAAAGGGGGTGGAATGGGGGGTTCCTGATTATAAGGAAGGGGCAACACACCAAGAAACAGGCTTTAATCAAGAGACAGTTATATATGACCACTACCAACACAACACAGTTTTAGGGTAATTATTTTGCGGTAAAAACATACTTTATCGACAATCAACTATAGACCATTGTATGCAGTCAGTTAGTGTTAAAGCTTTACATTGTTTGGGTTTGTCTAAATTCTCAAAACTATGAATCATAATAATTATGGCAAAAAGTACATTGATTTGAGTAAGTTTTGTCATTGGAATTAGCATAGCATTGTCCTAATCTACTTATAATAGGATTGCAAACTCTCATTGCATTGATGAAAAAGGCAGCTGTTTGTTCTGTTGGCAGAGTTTTTTTGAGGAGATTCCATTTAAGACGCATTTTGCATAATTCAAGCATTTTCTACCAATGTGTATCTATTTGTGTCAGTGTATAGATAGCTCCTCTCTTCCTCAATGGAGCGTCCGGGGATGCAATTAATCTAAATTGTGCATTGGGAATGAAATTACGGCTTTCAAAAGGGGTCGGTGTCGTTTTATGTTAGCATGAAAACAACTAAATTCTTTGTAAAGTTGCTTTGTATTTGACTTTGCTGATGGTTGGCTCTTGCAAAATGGTGCTAATTTGCATAAAGGCATTAGATTTGGGTGGACTTCTGCACAGGCTCGCAGAATTACACAGACATGTAAGCTTCCGCGCTTCTTAACACCCACAAAACGCATCCTATTTCCTTCTCCCTGGTCTTTTCCGCGACGCTAAACCCATTACGATTGGCAGGTCGCATTCCACAGGTGGTTCCAAAACCAGGATTTTTCTGAAAATCCACAATTTGAGCGACTGCTTGATGAACGAGGCAAGAGTCATTTCAGAGCTTGGAGATGCTCCCTATAGACGCATTAGCTGCAAAAAGCGCACGCCCAGGCCCATATCCGTAACGATAAGTGCATTTTACTGCCATTTTATGTTCAAGAGAGTCCCTGTAGAAGACAAATGTGCTCCTGCCATCTGTGACGTAACGTATGGATAGAAATCAACACATCCAGGAACGGTTTTAGCCTTCATTTTCATACACACATACATTTTCTGCGCTATTTTGATTAAGTTTGAGGCTATACTATAGTTAAGACCTGGCTTCATCGTTGCAGTTTCGATCTTATTGACAAAAATGTTAGTTCCCGGACGTAGATTTGACCGGCTCAGTCCCATCTTCTGACTTATCCCTTGCTTACATATTAACACAACAGCTTCAGCACGGATTGATCAGTTAATTCAGTTCACAAGTTTACACCTTGCGTTAAAAATGACTTACTCCTTCTATACATGATGCTTCTTTAAAAGAGGTTCTGGTTTAATGATGTGTCCATTTAGGGCCCTTTGGCAAGAGACCGGAGGAAGGTTTAGGCTACACTTCCCGTGATGTAAAAATGGGTTAGGGAGCCCCGGGGTGACCCTCCAGGAAGCGATCTTTTACGAGGGAGAGAGAAGAGAGAGCGGGAGACAAGGCTGTAATGTAAAGGAGAGGAGGCGGATCGATGCATGGGGTCGATAAACTTGAGCGTATACATAGGTAAAATAGCAATCAGACGGGATTAGGCGCTGGATACGAGCATTGCATGGCTTTAAGACTGGTTTATTTGACCGACAAGCGCGTTGGAAGTGCTGGGGATTGGAGCTCCGCAGAGAACGCGGTGGTTTTTAATTAAAATTCAACTCACCATCTCGGAGGAAATGATGAGAGAGAAGTGGGATGGGGAAAAGATACAAGAGAGCAATAGAACGGCTGATATAGTTGAGCTGTGGGATGTGCTGCTGACTGAAATCATGTCAAAATGTTTGATGTTTGCTTATATTTAAAAAACTACAGTCAATATGTTGGGAATGTGTTGGATTTGCGCTTAAAATATGCTTCGGTTTGACGTCAAAGTGTCGTATGAAAAACATATCAACACTGAAACTGCAGAAATATCCTGTAACATACACTATCATGTTCTGTCATTTCTGAAATTTAAGTTGAATAACGTTTTAAAAATGCCAATGTGAAAATTGTGGATAAAAAAAAAAACAAAACCTCTTTTACGATTTATTTTCTGTTTACAGCTTTAGCAAATGTCACGTTTATCTGCGAAGGGAAAAAGTCAAAGGCGACGTCGTGCGGAACTCCTTACCTGGACCGTGGGAGCCCCTCGCAGTTGCCCGCCTAGGAGCGCTCTTCCCTCGGCGTGACAAGCTCCGCTGAAGCCCGCTCTGTTCGCTGGGGCACTTTGTCTACTTCTACCCAGAAATACACATCCACAACACGGGTAAAAAGTCAAACAATCCCGTACGGAGGAAAATAAGTGTTATTCCAATGATGTCACGCAATTATGTCCACTTTTTGTTACAGTCGTGACAACCGTAGAAAAGAGGGGGACACGCTTGCCAGCACGCCGGGATGAGAGCCACTCTTCACGGGTGACTGTTCCACAAGCTTGGCCGGGAGAAGACGCGATCTCAGTGGGTAAATGTGAGTAGCATCCTCCGGTGAAGTTGTCAATAGGTGGAAGTGGTGGAAGTGTTTTTTTTCTTCTTCAAAAAATCAAATAAAATGTATATAAAACCAGGTTAAAATATGGGGGAAAATGAGTTGGAAAGGTCCCGGGAGACAGCGGTCTGAAGTCGCGGGAGAGCAGGTCGCTGATCGCGGGTGCTGCGTCCGTGGTGGAGCCGGTGCGCGCTGTGCCTGCTCCGGTGCAGATGAGAGAGTGTGAGTGGATCTAGATGCGTGTGTGGTGGAGAGGTGGAGAGGCAGAGGGAGGTGGAGAGGCAGAGGGAGGTGGAGAGGCAGAGGGAGGCGGCAGCAGCGGCCCCCTCCCGTCCCCGTGTGCTGCACTCGCGGAGGCTGCAGTGCGCTCGCAGGCCTCCGGGGGCGCTGCTCTCACAGTTTACAGAGAGCGCTGCTGCATGTGTGTGAGAGTGTGATAGAGAGAGCCTGTGTGTGTCTGTGCAGTGTGTCTGTATGGTTGTGTGTGTGTGTGTGTGTGTGTGTATATTCAGTGTGTGTATACAGTTTTTAAAGGAGTCACCCCTTACTATGTGTGTGCGTGCGTGTGTGTGAGAGAGAGCCTGTGTGTGTGTGTGTGTCTATTCAGTGTGTGTATACAGTGACAATATTTAAAGGAGTCACCCCTTATTAGTGTTACCCCTTATATATATGTGTGTGTGTGTGTGTGATTGTGTGGTTCTTTGGATCTATTCAGTGTGTGTGTATACAGTGGCTAGATTTAAAGGAGTCACCCCATAGTACGTGTTACCCCTTAATATGTATGTACAGTATGTGTGTATGTGTGCAGTTTAAGTGTGTGTGTTTGCGTGCAGTGTGTGTATACAGTGACTACATTTCAAACAATACGTTGATTTACCTGTACAGCTACAACTGGATTATATTGTAATTTTCACTTTTTTCATTGTATGGATAAACTTCTGTTCACTACAAACGAGTTAAAGCAGCAGTAACGATAAGACAAGATAAGAAAAATATTCTCACAACATTTAAATATTTTAGCGCACACACAAGACAGTGGTGAGATCACACAAAAATGTAGCTCGCGAAAATTCAATTTGGTAGACGTCAGCAAAAGCTACCCCCTCCAGGCCGGTTCGCTTCCCCAGCCTATCGCTCGGCAAACGCCCCCTTCCAATCATCCGTGCCGGACAGGCAGCCGCTTAAAAGCGGAGCAACTCTCACTTTCTGCCTTCTCGAAGCCTCGCAAGCTCCTGAAGCCTTGCAGAGAATCGTCTGGAGGAATCGTTTTCGTCTACTCACGCTACTCGTGCGCGTCCCTGGCGTCCTCCGTCTGGCTGCTTGTGGTCTGCTCCTCCTTCGCGTCCCTGCACTGGTCTGCTCCTCTTCCACGTCCCTGCACTGCTGTGGTTCGCATGTCTTCACTGCTCTCCTCCTCTGCGGGCTCTTTCTGCGGGCTGCTCCGCGGGGCCCTCCGCGGGTTTCTGTGCGGCTCGTTCCTCGTGGTCTGCTGCCGCACGCAGAAGGTCTGGCGGTGCCGTGCGTGTCCCTGCCTCGATTGGCGGTGCCGCGTTGTCCCGTTGCTTTTCCCGAGTCTCCTGGCATGTGAGTACAGTGAGTGTGCTGACCGCGGACAGATTAATCCCGGAGTCTAGGCTGCAAGCGACTGGTTTTTGCCCTACGCACTTGACTGCAGGCGCCGGTTTTTTTTCGCCCCGAGCTTGGTCTGCAGGCTCCGTTTTCACACGTGTCTGAGCTAACCGAGGGGCAATGCATATTAAATGGCATCAATCTCTATCGTCTGAGGGATATACGAGGAGCTATGTGCATTAATTCAGATCATGTTCTGCCACTTGCAGTAAAACCATGCATTAAATAGCTAGGTCGCTGGTATTAAATTAGGTAACTAACTGCAGTGTTGCATTTTGAAAGTGCAGCAGGAAGAAAAAGGGCCGAACGTGAATCTGCAATGGGTGTGAAGTAGCGTTGGGGCTATGAACGCATGGATCAGTGATCGTTCATGCGCATCTGCCATAACCAAAGCAGAAGATGGCTCCAGGGGACGTCTGTTATTCGCATGGGAATGTTTCGGATTCGGGTTGATTTATTCCCTCAGGCTCTTAAACAACCGTGGGTTGGTTCTCTGACCGCCGCTGCTGCCGGTCCCCGCTGCCGTTCCTACTGATGCCTGATCCCGCCGCTGCTGTTCCTGCTGCCGCTCCTGCTGCTGCCTGTTCCTGCTGCCGCTCCTGCTGCTGTCTGTCCCTGCTGCTGCTCCTGCTGCTCCTACTACTACATGTGCCGCTGCCGTTCCGCAGGCTCCCAGGCTGCACCCGTCTCTGTGGCTCGGCTCTTTCAGACACGTACGTAACCTGGCTCACGGAGACAAGCGGCGCACGCTGGCGTGACACGTCTGTCTGTTCGTATGAATCGCTTCGTGGTGCTGCTGCTCCTGCTAATACTGCTTCTGCTGCTTCATACTGCTACCGCTACTGCTGCTACTGCTGCTGCTTCATACTGCTACTACTGCCGTGCTGCTGCTGCTTCATGTACTTCGTCATCTCTCTTCACTTCGCTTCTCTTACTGAAACACTAAACAGCTACAACATATTCTACTGCCGTGGCTTTGATACAGGGTTTTGCCGTTATTATCTACGGATGCTGCAGCTGCTGCTGCCGCGGCTGATACAGGTCGTTGCCGTTATTATCTGAGGTTACTGCTGCTGCCGCTGCTGCTACTGCTACTGCTGCAACCCACCCTCTCAGAAGCTTATCCTGCTTCTAATGGATGCAGCCCGGCCGAGTATGCCGCGCGGCACTGGACTCGCTCCCAGGGTCACTTCGGCGGTCGTGCTTCATCTCTCTACTTAATCTTCTGATTCTATCAGATGCAGCTGGCCGAGTAGCTGCGCTGAGCCGTCAATCGGACTCCTAATCAAAGGCATCCATACCGTGTTCTTCACTCTTCTGATCGCAGGCTCCCAATCATGCTGCCCATTCCTGCAGCGGCACTGAACTCCGGCTCATCTTCCAGGTACATGTCTGCCATCCTCGCAGCATCTTCCTGCTCGCCTTCCATGGCTTCTCTGCATAAGCGTTTCACTACTGCACACTCAACCTTCGTGCGGTCCGAGACACGGCTTTTCCCGACCATCCTACTATCCTGATTATCTACTCTCCAACCCAAGATTCTAAGCGTAAAGGCGCCTGCAACTTCATGGCCCTCTCCGATACGTCTCTGCCCCCTCCAGGTCTCAGCTTCTACACGGACGTGCCCCTTCCGTGGGTTTTGGGGGGTTTTTTTCCAGGACCATCGCGGCCTCGCTGGGGCTCCCCCACACCTCTCCGCAACAGCTGGGGCGCCGGTCCTCTGCGGCTTTCTCCGCCTACATCAGGCCAGACGCGTCCGCTATCCTGCCTGCACAACGTCAACTGGCTTCCTCGTAAGCTCCCAGCAAAGCAATACGAAGCAAAGTAAGTGAACCAATAAGATTCTGGTGGCGGCACGCACTTCTCTCAAACACTCTCCGCTGCCGCAGCGTCTGACGGAACGTGATGCGAGCGCTCACGTTCCCAGCGCGCAAAGACAACCCTGCCGCAGCGTCTGGTTGATCGTGATGCGAGCGCTCACGTCCCAGCGCTCAAAGATAACCCTGCCGCAGCGTCCGGTTGATCGTGATGCGAGCGCTCACGTCCCGGCACTCAAAGATAACCGCATATAACGGTCACAGCACATAGTGATAGCGGTCATAGCGTTAGTGATAGCGGTCATAGCGTTAGTGATAGCGGTCATAGCGTCAGTGATAGCGGTCACAGCGTCAGTGATAGCGGTCATAGCGTCAGTGGTAGCGGTCATAGCGTTAGTGTTAGCGGTCACAGCATAGCAAAAAATGGTTAGCGCATAAACGGTTCACAGCATAGAGATAGCGGTCACAGCATAGCGATAGCGGTCACAGCATAGCGATAGCGGTCACAGCATAGCGATAGCGGTCACAGCATAGCGATAGCGGTCACAGCATAGCGATAGCGGTCACAGCATAGCGATAGCGGTCACAGCATAGCGATAGCGGTCACAGCATAGAGTAGCCACGACGTCTGTTTCCTGCAAACCAGGCTGCAAAACTCCATCAACACACTCAGCTTTTTGGGGATTGTACGCGCTCCATCGCAGGAGCCTCTCCGATCTGAAGGCCGCACCGGGGCCTAGGGCGCCAAACCACCTCAATAAATACTCAAAACCATTTTCGTTTCTCGTCTCTCCAAATTGAAATGTAGCTCGCGAAAATTCAATTTGGTAGACGTCAGCCAAAAGCTACCCCCTCCAGGCCGGTTCGCTTCCCCAGCCTATCGCTCGGCAAACGCCCCCTTCCAATCATCCGTGCCGGACAGGCAGCCGCTTAAAAGCGGAGCAACTCTCACTTTCTGCCTTCTCGAAGCCTCGCAACCACCGCCTCCCCTCCTCCTCCTCTTCACCCTGCCTCCAATCTGCCTCCAATCTGCCTCCAATCTGCCTCCAATCTGCCTCCAATCTGCCTCCAATCTGCCTCCAATCTGCCTCCAATCTGCCTCCAATCTGCCTCCAATCTGCCTCCAATCTGCCTCCAATCTGCCAAAATGCCGCCACCAGTGCCTAGGTCCCGGGGGATTGTATGCGCTCCATCGCAGGAGCCTCTCCGATCTGAAGGCCGCACCGGGGCCTAGGGCGCCAAACCACCTCAATAAATACTCAAAACCATTTTCGTTTCTCGTCTCTCCAAATTGAATATACAGCTGTTCACCTGCATCACTCAATGGAAAATAGTAAAAGATATAACTGTATTTCCACAGAGATAGAGAGTTAGATAGATAGATAGAGAGTTAGATAAATAGATAGTAGGGCTGGGCGATATGCTGAAAATTATATCACAATATAAGTAATTCATATCGGTCGATAATGATATACATTGATTGTTTAAATTAAAAAAAGCTAAATAGTCACGGGTTGAATGAGGCTGGAGGCAAATTTTCACAAGCACAGTGTCCCCCATCGTTAGTCCTGGTTTAATCCTGGTTTAGTCCTGGTTTAGCTCCTGTTGTGGCTGTTTTCGAGTGTCTTGTGTTCCCGTGACGGCTCCGGAAAAAGTCAATCTCCTGCTTTCGCCGAATGCATCGAGTCTCTGTACCCACTGCCTCTCCCGCCGCACAAGCTGTTCCTCGCACAGACGTGCAGAACCATTGACACGGCACTGAAATACGGTCTATAGATCCATGGACGCTACACATGGTGCAGTTATAGATTGTTGCGGTTATAGTTTTTGCATTTCCCAGAATGTTTTGCGGTTTGTGGTCGGCTGTGAAAGGTCGAGAAGCCTCTGCCTACATCCCCCAGAATGCCACGCGCCTCTGACTCGGCTTTACTTCCTGTGTTTTCTTCCTGTTTTTTCTAATGAAGTGAAGTTGAACTGTCGAAC